ACACATCCATTAGTGTGCAAACAGATTGGTTAATGCAAACTACATATGCTACAGCTGCTCCTTCTGAAAGGTAGTTTGGCAGCACTTTTTTTATTGGAATATAATTGCTTTACAATCTTGTGTTAGTGTCTGCTGTACAATGAAGTGAACCAGCTATAGTATCATATATCCTCTCTCTTTGAACCTCTCTCCCACTCCGCCCCCATCTCACCCATCTAGGTCACCAGAGTACTGAACTGAGCTTCCTGTGCCTTATAGCAGGTTCCCCTGAGCTATTTTACACATGGGAGCATGTATACGTCAATCCTAATCTCAAACTCACTTCAACATCCCCTCCTCCTCTACCCACCGTGTCCACGTGTCTGTTCTCTATATCTGCATCTCTATCACTGCCTTAGAAATAGGTTCTGTACCATTTTTTTTAGATTCCACAGACTAGCCAGTACTCAATCCAGAAGTAGACGAGTATCATAGGCAACATTTCAACAAGGAACATAAAATTAGGCATTGTGGATTATAGTAGATTCTAATTGCTTACAATTACAGAACTTAAGGAATGAGATGAAAGAGGAAGGAGTGTAAGAAAAATATTAATCTGATATCTTGGGTTTCTTGATTCCACCCTTTTTAACTTCTTCAGAAAAACCCAATTTTAACCATTAATATATAAATATGTTATAGTACCTCTCATATATGAAAACTAGAACTTCCATTATGCTGTACATGCCTTTCAAATCATTATCAGATTCCTTTTACCTTCACCAGACATCCTAAAAAATTGTCCCCTCTCACTTAATTTGCATCTTCCCTTACATCCCACAAACCAGAATACTGTATCTCGCTACACTGCTCTTCTCCAATTGTTGTCATGAGAACCACAGAAATCTCTTCTACTCTGTCCAATTCAGTGGCCATGCTTTTCAATCCTCATCTTATTCAATCTCTTTGTGACATTTGGAAATACTGGCTAATTAATCTGTTTTGAAATTCTCTCTCTCTCTTTGACTTCTGGGATGCTAAGCTAACATCTCTCTTACTTCATGCTCTATCATTTGTCAGTTTGTTGTTTGGCACCCAGTTCTCCACCTGCCCTTAATGCCCATGTCTCAGTTTCCTTGAGACACTGACTGACTCCTTTCTCTGAAATTGCAGGTTGGGTGATTTCATTCATTGTCATGGTTCAAGCAATCATTCACATGCTGATATGCATATTTCCAGCAGTTCCTGATACTTTGCAGTGGCCTTTTTGATTAAGCCTTCGAAAGAATCCTTTTTATTTTCATTCTTGCAATGCTTGAAACTGGTAGTCTCATCTTATCTCTAGGCTGCATCCCACACAATAAAATAGGTTTCATTATTGAGTTCAAATCAGTCATATAGTGCTTAAACATTACAGTTTCTAGAAAACAACAGAATTCCCAAATCCCTTTATGAAGCTAAGAAAATTGGACAAAAATAGCCCCGGCTCAATTGAATATGATATGAAGAACAAACACACACCAATTATGAATGTAATTGAAAAATTATAAGTAAAATGTTAGCAACTTGAATTTAGCATTATAGTAAATTTGTGGTTTATTCAGGAGCAACTGGAGAAAGAAATGGCAATCTATTCCAGTGTTCTTGCCTAGAGAATCATGTGGACAGAGGAGCCTGATGGGCTGCTGTCCATAGGATTGCACAGAGTTGGACATGACTGACGCAACTTAGCATGCATGCATGCATTGGAGAAGGAAATGGCAACCCACTCCAGTATTCTTGCCTGGAGAATCCCAGGGACAGAGGAGCCTGGTGGGCTGCCGTCTATGGGGTCACACAGAGTCAGACACGACTGAAGTGACTTAGCAGCAGCAGCAGGAGCAACAAGAAAAAACATGACTGTGTAAATGAATTCTAAGTAGTCATTTGATAAAATTGAAAATTCATTGTCAAGCTCAGGCGTGAAAATCAAACAGATCTGCTTTAGAATTAAAGGTTATTCACTTATAGCTATTTTTCCATTGAATGGGTGTGTTGTTATTTGTCACTCAGTCGTGTCCAACTCTTTGAAAGCCCATGGAATATAACCCACCAGGCTCCTCCCTTTATCCATGGAATTCTTCAGGCAAGAATACTGGAGTGGGTAGCCATTCCCTTCTCCAGGGGATCTTCCTGACTCGGGGACTGAACCCAGGTCTCCTACATTGGAGGCAGATTCTTTACCATATGAGCCACCAGGTAAATTAACCTATTTTGGATCCCAGTTTCACTAATTTTTAAAACAGGCCTAGACTTCCTTAAACCTCTAATTGAAATACATCTCAAATCTTCCTTTTCATAATACTTACTATCCTTGAAATTCTACATTTAACATCTGTTTCCTCCACTAAGCTGAAATCACCTTGATGACATGTGTGGCTGTCCACAATGTGTAGCTTAATATGTGTGAGTATGCATGACCAGCTACAGAATTTGTGGGGCCCAATGCAAAGTGAAAATGAGAGTTCCTTTGTCCAAAAATAATTAATAATTTCAAGACAGTGACTGCAGACCATTAAACCAAATCTGTAGCCCTTCTAAGCATAGGTCACATGTGTTCTACACGAACACATGGCCATAAATCTGTTTTGTGTGTTGTGTGTTTGAAATATGTTGAATATTATGCCTGGAAAATTAAGCTACAGGAACTTCAGAAAATAATGATAGAATGATAGCTAGCATTCAGGTCTCAGACTACAAAAAATGGTCATATTATGTTGGGTAAAAATAGTTCAGATAATTATCAAGAAAAAATTTTCAGATTGCCAATAATGAACTATTTAAAGATTGTGGAACATTTAAAAAGACATTCATTAACCTCAGATGATTCTCTCTTTAAGCTGACATTTATATTGTTTTATTTCCATTTTTTCAAGTACATTGTATTAATCATTCTGAGAATGTTGTCTTCTTTCTTAATATTTATTGGTTATAATTCATAAACTGTATATACTATTTTGTTTCCATATTGGCTTTTCTGCACCAGTTGGGTCTATAAGTGAACTTAATGGTAACCACCTAGCTTTTCTAATCACAAAATATTAGCATATAAAAATTCATGACATTTCTTTTATCCTTATCTGTCTGATGAAAAATAATGTTCACTTTACCAAAATATCAACTACAAATTTAAGACTACTTTTGGAATTTTTTTCCAACTGGTATTAATTCTGCCATAGACAGAAAAATAATAACTTGAAGTTAGAAAGTGCCCATTTGCATATAATGATAAAAATACTCAATGCTTTATGAATATTTTCTTCAGAGATTCTTCACATTTAGGGTCAGAGTCTGGTGGGGAATTTACATCTCCTCTCCTGGAGCTCTGAATAATTTCCCCTCATGCTCCCCAAAAGTTCACTTACGCACAAGCTCTTGTTCAACTAGGTTTTACAGTGATTGCATGAAAAAGGAAGACGGATTTCCTGCTGAGCAAGTTATTGATGGATGCTGTTTTATCTGTCCCTGAAAAGTTAAAAAAATAAAAAGAAAATTTGCAGGCTATATGCAGTTACATACCTCAATTCTGCTATCAGGGATTTTAAATAAATCAATAGCCAACATAGTTGTGTTTAATTACACAATTCAATTTTACCTGTCACTCCGGCCTCCTGTTTCTCCACTCCCCACCTCCACCCTAAGTTCCAGTCAGATGGAAATACTTGACATCTGACCCCACCCCTGCCATATTCTGCCTCCTGTTCTTGTTCGTTTCCCTTGTTCTCTTCCCCTTTCCTCCTATTTTCCTCTTGCCTTCACATACTGTCTCTTCCACACATGTTCTCATTCATGCATCTCACTCAATTCTCCTCTCTCATTCTTTTACTTTCTGCATGGCTGTGTGCTAGATACTTTCGTTTTCTTTTCACATGGCATGTGGAGTCTCGACTCCCGGACCAGGGATCGAACCCACGACCCCTGCATTAGAAGGGAGGAATCTTAACCAATGGACCACCAGGGAAGTCCTAGATGCTCATCTAAGTGGAATTCAGCTTGGCTGGACACAGGGAGGAAAAAAGTCATGGGTACTAGAGAGCCGGGGAGGGCAGCAGGAGCCCAGATCACTCACAGGGCCGTGAAAGCCCCATGTTCCCTGGGAAGTGGTCAGGGGTGGTCACAGAAAATGGCACATGTAAATCAATATCCTGCTGCTATGAAGGGAATGAAGAGGTTGTGGGCAAGAGTGGAAAATGGAAGGTCCCTAGACAGCAGGGTTTTAATGGTTGAACCTTAGGCAATTCACAGAATAGATTCAGGATTTATTTTAGAGGTATTGCTGACAGGACTTGCCTATGGACTGGATGTGAGAAGTGAGGCTAAAAGAGGAATAGAAATCCAAGTTTCAGCCTTGAGCAACACTGCTTCACCCTCTATTGCTTTTTTTTTTTCTCTCTCTCTCTCTTTCTCTCTGCTTTCTTTCCCTCTTTACTTTGTTCACGCTATCAAAGAATCTGAAATGCTCACATCCTCAAGTTAATTGACTTGCTTGGGTCTCAATTGAGAATTCACAAATTCCAGAAAATTGTCCTGAGGCCCCCACACAGGGGCAAAGTCATACCCACACAACACGTGACTCTGTTTCTGTCCTGGCATCAATTTCTACATTGTTCACAGGACTTCTAACCCAAGGTTTCCGAGTGGGGACTCTAGAGCTGATTTACAGTAGGTTTGTGTCCCACATTTGTTACTAACCAGAGGAGTGAATTCGGGCAGATACTTAAGGACGTCTTAGTTCCCACAAAATTATCTACCACAGAGAAAATTTTGCCTGAGATGACATATATAAAAGGATTAGCACAATACTAGTACAGAACAAATGCTAGGTAAATGATAGCCATAATATTATTATCACTGTTATTTCTTTACATCACCCACCTTCATTTAAGCAGGGTTTCTGCAGAATATCAGAAACCAAACCAAGACAGAAAATATCTAAATAATTCAGGTGTAGAAAAAAAAAAGATCACTTCTGTAACATACAGTCAAGATGGATAATTTGATTTATTAACCAATTTAGTGGTAGCACAGGTGGGAGACATTATTAGGAGCTATTATCAGTCTCCACTTTCTCCGCCTAATTTGGGCTTTAATTTCTAGGTCCAAAGATAGCTCTCACCAGAGGAGACTGACCCACCGTTTTATTGTCCTTTGAGATCCCACCTGGGCAGGTGCATGTACAAAAGACAGAGAGGAAAGAGACCAAGAGAGGTTAGAGAGGCCGAGGGAGTGGCCCATGGCCCTCTTAATCATTCATCATTCTTTACTTCCCTTTTTTTTTTTTTTAAAAAAAACAAGAGGGCTTGGCATCGTCCACCACCACATCTGCGGCAAGAGCTGCTACGCCTCCTCCCTGCCTCCCGCTTGCAATAGCCCAGCTCTTGCCCCACACATTTGCGGCTTCTGTGGACTCATTAGCAACCGATGCTTTTAGATCCTAGTCGCCTAACTTTGCCAAGGCGGCTAGAGGTCATCTGGGAAGTCTTTTGCCTCAAATCGCCCGGAATCAGAAGACCAAGTCATTGCTCCTGCGGTGCTTTGGGAATCCGCGCGCTCCTCTGGTCCAGGCGCACGGGAAGCGCTCGGGGAGGACGCAGGTGACCAGGAGAAGGGAGGCGGGGGGTGCTGTGAAGGCGCCCCAGTGATTAACTTGGAGATCGAACCTGCAGACCAAGCGCAAAGTAGAAACTGAAAGTACACTGCCGGCTGATCCTACGGAAGTTATGGGAAAGGCAAAGCGCAGAGCCGGGCCCTGGTGTGTGCCGCCCCCCTTGGGATGGATGAAACAGCAGGCTCGGCGTGGGTAGGAGGAACCAGCGACAGAGACGGCCCTACCCGGCACGGACTCCCGGTAACTCCGCGGAAGACCAGGGTCCTGGGAGTGACTATGGGCGGTGAGAGCGTGCTCCTGCTGCAGTTGCGGTCATCATGACCAAGCCCGCCTCCCGCAGACCATGTTCCATGGTAAGCGCTCCTCTCTCGGGCGCAGAAATTCGCGCGCCCGGCACGCCCGGGGATTCTGGGACGCGCTGCGGGGCCCCGCGCCCAGGCGCGTCCGGGAACAGCCCGGCCTTGCACTTTGGACCTGTGGAGAGCCCGGGCTCTGCCCCGGGGCAGCCGACGGCCGCGCCCGAGTACCCTGGCCCATTGCCACTTGCACCTGGCAGGTTGCGTGGGAGCCTCGGTCCCCGACGCCGGCCCTCTGTCCCCGAGACCCGGCGCTGCAGCCTCCGGGCCGTTCAGCGGAGGCAGCCTGCGCCCAGGTCCCGGGGTAGCAATGCGCTCCGTCCTTCTCCCCGAGCCAGCGCCGCCCGCTGTCAACCGAGCGCCCAACCCACCCACCCCGGGCTGCTGGCCGCGCCGGGATACTCACCGGCGCCCCGGGATCTGCGAGGATGTGGGCTCTTGCAGCTCCAAGTCCTTAGAGAAGTGAAAGCGAAGCTCCCACGGGACACGCTTTTAAACCCCAGAGGGACAGGTCTCCGGAAAACCCCGTTTTCACCCAGTGAGGCTGGGAGTTTCCGACTGGGGCTGTACCCGGTGTCTTTTGCTGGGAAACCAAATGCTCCGGGCTGGGACCGAGAAGGGCCACTTTGGGTTTTGTTTTGTTTTGTTTTGTTTTGTTTTTTCTGTATGGGTGCTTCTTGACGGAGGCAGAATTAACAGGCATAATTCTACATTTTAGACCCTTGCTGAGATCGACTAGATTTTACTTGTGTGAAATACGAATTTAAAATGGACAAGGACAGAGTTGAAGCGATGGCGTTAGCAACCATATGGCTAGTATAAAGAGTCCAAAAGTTGACTAGGAAAAATTTTAAAAAAGGTGTGCTGGGGAGTTTGGGGGGAGGGGAGATGTGATTAGGGAGCGATCGGCTGAGGAAAATTCTGCTGTTTTACAGTAAATACTTCCTCTTTCAAAAGTAGACGAATGGGAGAGGCGGCCAGAATAGACAGGAGGTTGTTCTCCTGTTTGATGCCTTTCCTGGCTGCACCTTTAGATTAGAAGAGCTTTTTGCCCACTCACAGGTATTCAAACATCAAAAATTGACATAGCCCAGAAGTACCTGATCAGTAACAAAATAAAGGAGTAGGGTTTAGAGTATAGAGAATTCTTAATGGGCCTCCTCTAGAAGTTTATGTAGAATTAGAAATTAGGTATATTCCTGCTTCCTTACAATGCCCACAAATCTCCTGCAACTGCTTAATTGCTTCTTTCTGGATGGCTCCCAGTTCTGATCCTCCCATCACCTCTGATCTAGAGTGGAGACGTAAAACAAGAGGAAGCTAAGATGTCCATTACCAACAAGGAGCCCCTATTTCCTGAATATCTACACTAATCATGTAGCATAAGTTATCAGCAACCAAAATATTAGAATTCTAAATTCCTAATAATAATTACTCTAAGTGGCTATCTGCAGTTTGTTCCAATAGATTTCATTAGAGGTTTCACTACTTTTTATCCTTTCACTTTGACACTTCTTTTGGAAGTTGAAGTAGTTGAGGACCTCCTTTGTAGTCCTTGATGAGTGTGCTCTCTAGTTTTGATAATTTAATTATTTGAGGACCCAAAAGTGGAATAAGTGGTACAAATGGAGAACTAAGGAAGATTAGAAAGCCTGAACAAGTTTAAAGAGAATTACACAGGGCATCATAACAATGCTGAAATACCTTAGACAAAAATGGAAAAGGTTACTTTGTAGGACCACCTTACATGTTGATTTCACTGTGATGTGAGATTTTTTTTTTTCTTTATGGCTGCACCTGTGACACATACCCTAATGTAATAAAACCAAGCAATCAATGTCTTTTTTCCCCTGAAAGAGGAGTATGTGGTGCAATGTTTCAGAGCTTGGCCAAGGAAGCACCACAGTGAGTTTCATGTGGAGAAAGATGGGGTTTTTGTACATTTCCCTTGAGGATACACATGCAGTTATTTTTATAGGAAGTAGTGTAGCTCAGTGGCGAAAAGCTTAGTTTCTAGACTTTTCAACCTAATAATCTTGGATTTGAATCCTGCCTCTTACAAAACTCATTTTATCTGGGGAAAAATTTGGGCTCCAGATTTTCCATCTGCCAAAATGTTTAGTAATTGATAGTGTTTACCTCAAGAAATGGTTATGGGATTAAATGAAATACTGTATATAGTATTATAGGGTGGCTTCAGAAATGTCTTTATATGCTGTTTATCACAGGACTTATGGATAGAATTTATAATCCAATCAATATGTTTGTGGCAAATATTAGAATTCTTTGTGTGAATGTAAAATTCATTTTAGAACCTTAAAAAGCTGGTTTTCATATAACATATGGTTATTTCCTACTGTTTATTAACTTTTTCTTTATTCACTCACTTGCTTATGCCAACTGCTCATACTAAAGCCAAATCTTATATATTCAGATAATGTCTTTCATTCCATCCTGAATATCTGTTGACTGTGTCTTAAAAATCCCAGTGAAAATAGGTCTATGTAATGTGTACAGTAGACAGTCAACAAACACTGATTGGTCTTAAACAGTCATGAAAGATTGGATTTGAAGGATTGTAGAAACTAATTTGTTTATATCCACTTTGACCCCATAACTTAAGCATCTGAGGATTGAATGTATTATTTGGCTTAATTCAAAAACCAACAAGACTTTTTTAGACAGCCATCATTCTGGTTTAACCAAATTCCCTACTGAAAACAAATTCTCCAGTTTCAATCCCTTCAGGAAATCTAAAGAAAATTCCACAAGCCCAAGCTTGCCTTGCATTATTCTTTACAGTTTATCTTTTTTTGTAACCTAAGGGAAAGGTCAAGGTGGGGGGGTGGGTGGTGGTGGATGGAGTTGGTATTCTATGCATAATCTAAAAATAAAAGCAGAGTCCTTTCCTATTGTGACAACAATGTCAAAAGCAGGCTCAAACTAGGCAATGTTAATAAGTTATTCTACATGTGGTATGGAGAAAAGACTTCAGTTGAAAGCAAGTCGTTAATGAGAAATCTAGGAACCTCTGATACATGGGTTTGAAACACTGGAATGTATTTGCAACATTGTTCACCAGGAAATTTCAAGTTTAAAGAGTTACTGTGTTTGGATGGCTAGGTAGATTCTTAGAATTAAGGTGCTTATGAGTTGAAAGGGACATCAAAGGATCATTTAGTCTGAGGTTTTCATTTCACAAATTAGGCAAGTGAAGATTTTGAGATGCTCTGTCCTTCAGTTGGTCTCTTAACCCATTTCTGCACCAAGACGAAGCCCCCAAGTCTTCCTCTATACTTTGTGTTGCCCGAGGCTATCTGGAGCTGAGCTGCTGGTGGTGGTTTAATTCATAAGTCATGTCTGACTCTTTTTTGGCCCTGTGGACTGTAGCCTGCCAGGCTCCTCTGTCCATGGGATTTCCCAGGCAAGCATACTGGAGTGAGTTGAAGTTTTCTTCTCCAGGAGATCTTCCCAACCCAGGGATTGAACCCATGTCTCTTGCATTGCAGATGGATTCTTTACTGCCAAGCCACCAGGGAAGCCCAGGGCTGACCTATTTAACAACAATAGTGGCAACCAAAGACACTGTTTACAGATAAGGCAAATATTGTTTTAGAATTGCACAAAAAAGACTTAATTTCCCACTAAGTCATCATTTGAAAGCATTGATAAAATACCATCCAATGACCAAATGGATCAATGTGAATTTTGGGAGCACTCTTTACTGAAATTTGGAGTGAAGTGGGCACGATAACTAGTGGTCAGAAAAAATAAAACTGCCTCCTAAATCAAAGTGTAAAATGTGGACCTTTGAAATAACATTTATGTACAATAGTAAAAATGTCTCTTTTTCATTCTAATATTTAATTATGTTGTTAATATTCCTTTAAAGCTCATTTCAAGTTATATGCTGTATAAACTTTCCTTATCCTCTATTCCTCCTGAAGTATCCTTGCCAGACACCTTTAACATGACTGAGAAAAGAAGAAGTTTGGCTCTGTACTATCTATACAAACCTCATTACAAAGTTAGGACGCTAAATAATTAGCAATTCTCATTGTTTGAGAATCTTAAGGTGGGAGAGACAATAGTAGAAGAAAGAGAGGTGGAGATAAACAGAACATGGAGGGAGTTTTCATTTAGACCAAAATGATGACATGTTATCAAAAGATTATGGGTAGACTTCTCTGGTGGCTCAGTGGTAAAGAATCCACCTACTGATGCAGGAGTCATGAGTTCAATCCCTGATCTGGGAAGATACCACATGTCTCAGAGCAACTAAGCCCGTGCACCGCAACTATTGAATCTGTGCTCCAGACCCTGGGGACCACAACTGCTAAAGCCCGTGCACCCTAGAGCTGGTGCTCTTCAACAAGAGAAGTCATGGCAATGAGAAACCTGTGCTCCGCAACTAGAGAAAAGCCCACGCAACAAAGAAAACCCAGCACAGCCAAAAGTAAATAAATAGGTAAAATTATTTTTTAGAAAGATTATGGGCATTTATGATCAAATCCTGGTGAATCAATCGGCTCAGGATAGAATCCAGACCTGGCACCTCCTATTTATGTTTAGCAAAAAGATTAACTACCTGGTAGGACCCTTTGATCTTTAGATACAGTAAGTATAAGGCACTGGTGGTACACGACAGGTACTCAGTTAAAGGTAACTAGCATCATCATCATTGTTAATGTCCTAAGTGAATTCTTGCTCATCATGCCTACGGAAACTTAGTGTCAGAGCTTTGAGTAGATTCTGCCTCTCATTTTGTTTTTCTTATCTTTTTAAATGTCAGTGACGTATGAAGATTCGATGTGAGATTCATGTTTGTTCCTCTATCTGCTACCCAGTCTACATTCTCTATTGTAAATATATGGTCACTAACAGCGCATAATTTAATGGGGAGAGCTACTCACTTTTGTATTGCAGATAATGATGTAATAGATTATCAGGAAGTTTATGATATATGTGACAGTCTTTAGTTCCTTGGGTGCCAAGCAGCATTGTTTGTAATCTTAATCAGGAGCAGGCATACATGTGAAATATCTTCCACTCAAGGAGAATAGTTAAAGGTCACTGGTGAAAGTTACAGGAAATACATTGTCATCAATACTCAATAGTTTACAGAAAGATGCAAACAAGACACTCTGGAAAGCTTGTGAAGAAATACAATAAGTCCCCACAAAACCAGATTTTAATGCCTCAGGGAATCACTGGCTTTCTATCAGTGTAGTACTATTGCCAAAATTATGTCATTTATAATTTCATCCCTTTTGATTAAAAAATGCCCCTAATTAAGAACACTTATTTAAAAACAGATATAAATAATTCATTAACAGGGTATGAATTTATTTATTGTTTTCCTAACATGTCAAGAAGCTAAACAGGGCTGTGTTTGAAGAGAATATGAGTCTCTGGGCATTTAGAAATAGAAGATACTGAAAAGATAAGGAGTCTTATAATATAACTGTCAACTTTGTGCCAGTTCTGGGAAAGGTAAGTCTTCTAAGGTCCATTATTTAAAAAAAAGAATATAATCATAGTGTTGTACTGTGGAGATAAACCTCCTGCAATGTTGCCTCCAGGAAACAGCTGGACACTTGATCAGCCACCAAGTTTTACATAAATATACAGTCATGTGCTGTAGATCATAAACTTTCAAGAATTTCTAATTTTTAACCTATAGTTTACCTGTTTTTCTGTCGATGGAGCAAAGAGACTTTGCTGTCATCACACCTGTTCTGCACTATCCCAAAGAGTTATATCTGAATTAAAATGAAAGAAACCTAGACTCTAAAATATTGTCTTACTTTGGCTGTTACATAATACTGAACTTTGGAGTTTTTTCCTACACTCTGCAGAAGCAAGATACATTTTAAAAATTCTTAGAAATTAGTGGTCAGGCCAATTGAAACACTGCCATCAGATGATATAATATGACTTAAAACATTTGGCTGATTCTTACTTACTGTTGAATTCAGTTTCTTTTAGGTATATCTTTGGAATTCCTCCACTGATCCTTGTTCTGTTGCCAGTAGCATCATCTGATTGTGACATTAACGGTAAAGACGGTGGAGCATATCAGAATGTTCTAATGGTCAACATCGATGACTTGGTATGTGTTTCTTTTCCTCACATTTTAACTCATTGGCAAAATTTTATATGTACTGTTGGTATGCAGTTTTATGTTTTTAGTATTTACTTATATTCCTTGAAAGACAGTGAAATAACTCAAGAATAAAAGTGAAAGGGGGCTAACAGTATCTTTTCTTTTAGAGTTGGCATCATTATATCCTTTAAAAAAATTCTTTCCTAGCCCTCAGACTCATCAATCCTAGTTCCCTTCACTACCAAAATTTTTCTGAACTTAATTTAGCATAACTCTCTGCATTTCCTCACCTTCCATTGACAGTCCATATAAAAGCATTATATTAGAAGAAGGAAAATAGTGGAATATAATGTTTAAAATTTATCATGAAGGGATTTCCCTGGCAGTCCAGTGGTAAGACTTCATGCTTCCACTACAGGGAATGTGTTTGATCCCTGGTCAGGGAACTAAGATTGAAAAATTATCATGAAGAGAAAGAGATGTATAGTTATTTTATCTGAATGTGTGTATAGGCATATACTTAAGTATTTTATACATATATATATACATATAATTTGCTGTGGTATTTTTTACTTACTTTGGACATTTTTTGATAACAGCTATTATTCTTTAGGGTAGTTTTAGGTTTACAGAAAAGTTGAGGAGAATGTAGAGAATTCCCACATACCCACCCTCCCTGTGTACAATTTCCCCTGTAATTAACACCTTGCATTTGTGTGGTACATTAGTTAGAGTTGATGAACCAATATTGATACATCCTTATTAACTAAATCCCATAGTTGACATTAGGGTTTGCTTCTTGTGTTGCACAGTTTTATGGGTTTTGACAAATGAGTAATGTCCTGTATCCACCATGACAGTATCATGCAAACAGTTTCACTATCCTTAAAAATTCCCTGTGCTCCACTGATTCATACTTCCCTCCCTCCTCTGAACCCACGGCAACCACAGATCTGTTTATGGTCTCTGCGGTTAGCCTCTCAAAATGTAATACAGTTAGAATCATGCAGTTTGTAGCTTTTTTAGACTGGATTCTTTGATTTAGCAATGGGTATTTAAGGTTCTTCCCTGACTTTGTGGCTTGATAGCTCATTTCATTTTATTGTTGAATAAAATTCCATCGAATGGATGTACTACAGTTTGTGTCTCCATTCACTGATTGAAGGATATGTCTTGGTTGCTTCTAACTTTTGACAATTACGAATAAAACTTCTACAAACATTCGTGTGCAGGGTTTTGTGTGGACATTCATTTTCAACTCATTTGGATAAATTCCTAGGAGAATGATTGCTGGATCATATGGTAAGACTATGTTTAGCTTTGTATTAAACTGCCATGCTGCCTTCCAAAGTGACTGCACCATTTTGCATTATCAACAGCAATGAATGAGAGCGCCTGTTGCCTTACGTCCTTGCCAGCATTTGCTGTTGTCAGTGTTTTAAATGCTAGCCATTCTAATAGATGTTTCATTGTACCTCACTGTGCTTTTAATTAGCAGTTCCCTAATGTCATATGATGTTGAACATCCTTCACATGCTATTGCCATTCGCATATCTTCATTGGTGAGGTATCAGAACTCACATCCTACCTGACATCCTAACTATATTGAATCTTACTATCCATGATCATGGAATATCCTTCTATTTGTTATTTCTTTCATCAGAGTTTTGTGCTTTTCCTCATATTGATCTTGTTTATATTTTGTTAGAACTATACTTAAGCGCAGGATTTTGTATTTTGGGTAGTTTTGTAAATGGTGTGTTTTGAATTTCAAGTTCCTGTTATTCATTGCAGGTATATAGAAGAGCACTTTTGTATATAATCTTGTATCCTCAAATCTTGCTAGAAATGCTTTTTAGTTCCAGGAGGTGGTATTGGTATTGTTGCTATTCTTTGGGATTGTCAACATAGACAGATAATTCATTGACCAAAATTATTTTGTTACAGTTTAAGAGCTATATTAATGTAATAGGATGTGTTGATTTAACAGTAATCAGTACTTGAAACTCCAAATGACAAAGCAATCTCTTTCACATGTTCATAAGATGGAAATAATTGTCTAATCTTTCCCTTCCTTCCACTCACTCTTTCTCTGCATACTCATACTGAAGGGGCACAACTCCTTGGGAAATCATTGTCTTACCTCTTGGGGGGATACGGTAAACTCAAGATGCTATATAACTGCATGCTGTACCACTTCAATATATAGAACTGCTGATGAAAAATGCACACTACATGGTAATTGCCCAGTTTTTAATTTCATGAATTGAGGGCATTTTCTGCATTAAATTATGCTACTAAATTAATATTTTGAGTCAAGAAATGGATTTTACTCTTTACTAACTTTTCAAAACATTATTTGTTTATTTAATTTTTGGTCATGCTGGGTCTTATTGCTGCCTGTAGGCTTTCTCTAGTTGCAGTGCAAGGGCTTCTCCTTACAACAGCTTCTATCGCTGCTGCACACAGGTTCTAGGGCATGGAGGTTTCAATAACTGCGGGGCAGGGACTTAGTAGAATCTTCCTGGATCAGAGAGATTGAACCCGTGTCCCCTGCATTGGCAGGCGATTCTTAACCACTGGACATCCCAGGAGAGTCCATTTACTTAATCACCTTCATTTCCCAAAGGACAATTCTGAGACTCAGGGTCACCCTGTTACATGGCAGAGCCAGGATCTGAGCTTCTGCTATTCACCAGCACACTCTCCTGCCTTCCAGTAGCAATCAATCACTGTGTCATTATATGCATTCAACCAACATTTATGTGGAGCCTGTTATATGCCAGTTACTATAGAAAACCCTGTGGTGTGGTGGGGAGGTGGGGGTGTGGGGGTAGATGCAAAAATAGGCCAGATACAGACCTGTCTTTTAAGGAACTTACATTTGGTGATGGTTAAGTCTTGGTGTGAAGAATGCATGTTGCAGCTTGAAAAGGAGTGGCTGTCATACTCTCATTTTAAGCAAACTGGTTGTGAGTCAGATTTGGAAACAAAGAAATATAAACTGTGTGCCAGGAGGACTTCAATAGATCAGTTTGACACCAGGAGAGAAACCATACTGTGGGTTCATGTGCTGATTTCCAGACCTTTTAGACAGTATACCATTTAGTGAAACTGTCTTAAGCCTGCACTTCCAGTATGCATCTACTTACATGTTATAGCATTCTATACATGTTAGTAATGATATATTCCAGACAATAAATATTTACAAAAGATGAAGAAAAAATGTAGATGGAATTCCTAAAACTTTTCCTTCCTTGCTTGCAGTGGGTTGTCCATTGTAGACTCTACTTTGAAAAGACCACTAACATAGTGGAAGACACAAGTGTATATATAACAAGATTGTGAGTTATCTTGATGTGATGTTATTTAGACATAACCAAAAGTCAACAGTGATTTGGTCATAAAATAACATTTAATTTCAATGCAAATTTTGAAAATTTACTGTGTACAATGTAAGTCATTAGAAAATAAGATAGTCCTTGGTCCTCTATAATTTATGAGGATAGTGCATTACAAAGCGGTTTCATACACCTTATTTGAGCTTCATAATATCTCTATGAGATGATAATAATAATCAGTTCAGTTCAGTTGCTCAGTCATGTCCAACTCTTTGTGACTCCATGGACTGCAGCATGCCAGGCTTCCCTGTCCATCACCAATTCACAGAGCCTGCTCAAACTTATGTCCATTGAGTTGGTGATGCCACCCAATCATCTTATCCTCTGTTAGTTATAATAATAATAATAACAACAACACAAATTCAGGGTTTACTATCTGCCAGCACTGCTCTGACCACTTTTCATGTAATACTTATATAATTCTCATGATAATTCCATGTAATGAGGAAAGTGAGACCTGAACCACTTGGTTGGCAAGTGGCAAAGCTGGAATTCAAATCCAAACAGTCTAGTTCCAGAAAAAGTCCTCATTATGATGAGGCAAAGCAGGCAATAGCCTGTTTTTTTTTGAGGGGGAAGGAGAACACATGATAGAGAGTTACGGTAATAACATAATGAAAGAAGGGTTCAGGAACACTAAGATGGTAACTGATCTGGTTGTATTGTAGGGAAAGATGAAGGGGAGCTGAACAAACATTTTGAATACATCTGGATGTTAAAATCATCCAGAGCACATCAATAAAGTAGAACTGAGTTGTGGAAGTAAGAAAATAGATGATGGAAACCATGACATAGAGTCCATATAAGGTTCAGGGTAAGGGCGAGACTCATTTTTCTACTTAGCTCAAAAGGAATGGAAAGTTCATAATAGATAATAAAGGTCCTTTTTCTATATGGTCTAGTAATTAAGGAATTTAGATTCCTAAAACTCAGATGTCTAAGTTAAATAGAATCAGCACTTTAGGCTTCTTAATACATATTTCCTAATTCTTTTTCAGAAAGGGTCCACAAATTTACAGTTCTTACAGCAATATATGAAGTCATCATTTTTGTCAGCATTATTTTTATTTTTGACAATATCTAGCAGGGCAATAGAAAAACAACTTATTTTGACTTATATTTCTTTGATTGCTTGTGATGTTTTTTTACATGTATTCATCATTTATGTTTTTATTTTGCATTGAGATAAAATACAAAGTACTATTAAGTGTACAATTTAGTGACTTTAAGTATAGTCACAAGTTGTGCAATCCTCACCATTATCTACTTCCAGAACATTTCATCACCTCAAAGAATGATAAAACCATTAGCAATAGTTTTCCATTCCTCATCACTAGATTCTGGTAGCTACTAATTTACTTTCTGTTTCTATGGACCTGCCTTTTCTCCACGAGTCATACAAATGGAATCATACAATATGGAGCCTTTGTATTGGACTTCTTTCACTTAGCGTGATGTTTTCAAGCTTAACCCATATTATAGCATGAATCAGTACTTCATTTCTTCTTATAGATTAATAATTTGTTGA